AAATATATTTCTTTAATTTACATTTATGTGTAGGCAGGCTGCCTATATCACAATATGCCTTCCTTTTTTTTTTAAATCCTTGCCTATATAGGCGCCTTTTTCTTCAAATTGTCTTGCCTTTAAATCCGAGCTTTACTTATATGAGTTTTTTCAATAGAACTACCCATTTTTCATTAGCTCATCGAATGCAGCTTGAAACGCTGTATATGCACCGTAGTTTGTTTTTTTCATACTTGCCAGGTTGGCAGATTATTGTTATTTTAGTAAAATTTTGCTTAAAAACATGGTACCTAAAAATTCATTGTAGAAGGAAAAAAGCGGAGACACAAGCTTCTAGTTCATACGTCTAGTTTATTTTAAGATACAGGGTGACTCAAAGTCAAGTGGCAAACCAAACTTACCCTTTTATAAATGGAATGCCGTACTTTTATTGCATATTCCAACTATTCGCACAAATCTAAGCCTACTGGAATAAATGTTTTATAATGATTTTCAACTGTTTTTGAGTTAATAACCAATATTGATTGAACTTTGGCCACCCCTTTTTTGTATCTAATCTGAGATTTAGAGATAAATGTTAAATATTTCTAGCTTATACGTCTAGTTTATTTTAATATAATATTTATTGATACAGGGTGTCTCAAAGGCAAGTGGCAGACCAAACTTACCTTTTTATAAAGGGAATGCCGTACTTTCATTGCATATTCCAACTATTCGCACAATTGTAAGCCTACTCGATTAAATGTGTTATAATGATTTTCAACTGTTTTTGAGTTAATAACCAATATTGATAGAACTTTGGCCACCCCGTTTTTGCATCTAATTGGAGATTTAGAGATAAATGTTAAATATTTCTAGTTTATACGTCTAGTTGCTTATAATGATTTAAATGTTTTATAATGATAATTGATGTTGAATATACAGTCTGTATGAAGCTAAGTAAGTGCTTTACATTTATTGGCGGTGGTAAGTTGGCTATAGCAGCAACTTTGCATTTGCACACAGAAACGAACATTTCTCACGATTAGCACTAAGTTTAAATTGCCTCGGTCTTGCAAAAACTTTGTTTAGGTCCTCAATATGCTTCTGAAAAGATGACGATAATATGATAATATCGACGAGATATTATCATATTATCAAGTATGCAGTAAACAAGTATTGTAATATCAGGTAATCCTGTTCGAAATTTGTCAATTAACCTCTGAAAGGTCGCTGGTGGTGCGTAGTTTACCGTTCGCAAACGCGCAGTTTACCGTTCTTTTTGGGTACTCAAACCACTGAATACGGAGACTCACACTCTTCGATTACTCCTTCCTGAACCATTTTATCGAGCTCCTCTTTCAGGTATTCCTTCTTCATAGGTGACATGAGTTATGGGCCACCTCGTATAACGATAATGCTGACCAACCGCTAGTCCACGTGTGTGCCGATTCAACACTAATAAATTATATAAACCATTGACCAACCATTTGTATCCCAGTCAGAGTTTAAGATCAGAATTAATCAATTATTGTCTAGAACTTTGTATTAATGAAAATATAGTTTTTTTTAACTTTCAAGAATTATTATTCTTAAGTGGCGCAGTCTCTACAAGCGAGAGATACAAACAAATACGTCTTTCCAATCACCACAGATCCGTTAAGAATTATATTGAACCAAAATATCAATACATTGTACAGGGTGTTAACAATGTAGCCTTCAATCTAAAACTGCAAAAACAAAACAATGCAATATAACTTTTGGTTTTCAAATGAAGTACCTGTATATTAATACGTCATTAGATAGACAATTTACTCGGTTACAAATTTGCGTTTACACTTTAAGCTGTGAAATCAACCGTTTTCAAATTATAAATTATTTGATTTAAAAGTGTCAAAAAGATGTTACATTTTGTAAGGTGGCTATGGAATTCATGGCTTCAAGTGTACAATTTTGATGATCCTTGACATAATCAATGAAGAAAAGTGCAACGTTTTACAAAATGCATGGAATTTCACAGCAAAAAATGCAATAAAACTGCGTACGTCTATAAAAATAAAAATATAAAATTATACCTACAGTAATATTTTAAAATAAATTTTCAATATGATTTCCGTTAACATTTAAGCAACTATTAATATCTACGTTTTTGAAATGAATCGCTAACGCAGTTCAAAGCAATATTATTAATGCTTCGAAAAACAGTTGTGATTTGTTCCTTTATGTCATCTTTTGTAGTTGGAGTTATTTTGTAAATTTCGTTTTTGACGTAAGCCCGTAAAAAGAAATCMATTTTTGTCAAATCGGGTGAACSAGGTGGCCACTGAACAGGCCCACCTCTGCCTATCCACCTCTCAGRAAATTMATTATTGTTGAATTACTCATGAATTTGAGCTGTATGGTGAACTGGAGCTCCATTATGTAAATACCACATTATTTCCKTSATATAATTAGRTAAATGATCAATTAAACGYGSCAATTCAAATTTTGAYACTTATTTATTGACTTCGATAGCCACCTTACAAAATGTMGCAACTTTTTGAAATTTTTAAAMAAAAWMAATTATAMKKTGMARACGGTTGATTTCACAGCTKMAWGTSYAWRMGCWAATTTGWAACCGARTRRATWGTTCTATYTAAWRAMRTATACTTTRATMTTGCMGCGCTTTTCTGAGACACTCTGTATCATATAAGATAATTTTGAAATGTGMGCACTTTSTGCGTCAACAACTTTTATATGAAACTATTTTTCGAAAGTTCAACACCATCRGAAATAATGGACTCTATCRCACTAAAAAACCACCCTGTATGTACCCGTAATTATGAAAGTGGTCTAAGTCAGAGGTCRGCAAAGTGCGGCTCCAGAGCCGCATGTTGCTTTTTGGCTTCTTAAGTGCGGCTCTGGCACAAATATCCAGGAAAGGCGCAATAATATTTTCATGAAAAAAACTTGATAAGAACAAAATTACATCTCATTTGGATAAATTACAATTATTCTACAAATCGAGAACATGTGTAATTTTGTGTTTAGGTTTTAACTTATAAGCAAAGGAAAMCGAAAGATYAAAACSGCGAAYTTAAAGTTGAGTTCAAAACTTGAATAGACATSCGACATGTCTTACATGTAAGGAGAAATTCGCGCATAACAAGAASTCAAATTTAGAGACACTTTACAAGAAAGCACGCGTCATTTAGCACTAAATATCCTACCGGTGATGCAAGGATCAAAGTAGTTGAGGAACTTCAGAAGAGTCAAGAATCGTCAAATTATGTGTTTAATAACTGGATGCAATCTTCCAGCAATATTAATAGGGCAAGATTTGCTTTTAGCGAAGTTTGCTATGAGAGGGAGACCGTACACAGACGGCGAATACATAACATTTTTTTATTTAATTTAATAATTTTTTGATTGCCTGTTACTACTTACCCAAGCCAGTCACCGAACCCTATCGTTGCCCTTTGAATTTAATTTAATTGAGGAATCGTTACAGTTAAATTTTCATAACAATTTATTATTAATATTATATTAACAAAGATTTATTAGATTTTATGCATCTGAGAATTTGTCCAGTATTTTGCACGGTTGAAGAAAAGAGAGAATCTCCTGTTTGTCAACCAAAATGTGAAATGTTTCTGCGCGCTGTTCTTGGGCCAGCTTCCAGTCAAGTTCTTCTAATTTAATTGTTTAGATATAACTTTAATTTTAACTATGGTCTGTTTCCTGTAAGTTTTCTTCTGTGCAGTTTTAACCATTTTAGACCATTTTAACCAGTTTTTACCCATTTTCGACTTTTTTGATCATTGTTTTATTCGGTGCTCTTGGGAATGTTTGCTTCTGTTTGGACGAGTAAGTTTTGTTTAGCTTCCTTTTGTTCGGAAATCCCTAAAGACTGGCACACCAGCATCACAATTCCTATATAGAAAGGGTTCTACAAAAAATGGCAAGAAACAAAGCGTGAAAACTACAGAGGAATAAGTCTATTATGCTCAACAATGAAGATGTTTACAAGGTTACTCAAAGGCAAACTAGAGAAGCAAACAAAACCTGGGAGGAACAACAAGAATTCAAAAAGAATAGAACAACAACCATATTATTTACCAAGCAAATAAAGAAAAAAGCAAAAGAGTAAAATACGCCTACATTTATTTGCTTCGTCAACCATCTAACTAAGGCATTTGACAGAGTCCGTCTGGAAGATATCATAAAAATCCCAAAGGAAAAAGAATCCCCTTTTAACATAGCTACAACGGTTACAACCTTAACACTACTAACAGAACGCAAATCAAAGCTGAAGAGAATATTACATCTGGCACTCCCACTCCAGGAGGAATTCGACAGGGAGATAGCCTCAGTCCATTTCTCTTCAACTTCCTGGTGGACAAAATCATATAAAAAGCACATCCATGAGCAATAGGGCTATCAGCATGATCGGCTACGCCGACGACACTGCAATATTCACAGAAAGTGAGAATGACAAACAGCAACAGTTAAGTTCTACCAAATCAGTCAGCAGCTCGAGGTAAAACGAAAACAATGACCACAGCTAGGGAACTAATGAGATTCAATCTGGTAATAGATAACAAATCAAAATTAATTCCTGGATTTCAGTCATTTATTGTCTCTATTTATCAATTAAAATACGTTGCGGTATATTTTTCCACCATCATCAGTTTTTCTAAAATAACATAGTTAAAAAAAATCATTAATTTAAAAAACAATCACAGTTCGTCAACAGCCTCATCAAAATTCAATATACACTAGATAAGTTTAATGCCTTTCATGACACCCTAAACTTTACTCTCGAAGAAGATAAAGGAAATTCTATAAACTTTCTAAACCTAACAATTTATTATGATAACAACGGGGAAATCAAAACAAATTGGTACGCAAAGGAGGTATGGTCTGGTAGGTAGCTGAATTATCAATCGTACGCTCCAATAAAATATAAAAGAAGTGTAATAACGGCACTTACAGATAGAGCCATTAAATTGTCACATTGGGAGTATGGAACAAAAAATCGTGAAAAAATAAAAAAAATATTATTAATAAACAACTATCCAAGGTCATTTTTTGAACCAATCATAAAGCAAAGGATAAATAAAATATACAATTCAACTAAATGGAAAAACATAAATAAAAGAAGAGAAGGTGATATCAAGTATATATAATTACCATATATTCCAGAAATTAATACAAAAATAAAAAATATATTCAAACTACATAATACCAGCATAGCACAGCATGCACAACACAAGTTGCATAACTCTGATTTTGATAGCAAAAAAATACTGATTAACGAGAGTAATTATAATAAGAGAAGAGTCCATGAAATGATACAGAGTAAAAACATAACAATGCTATGAATTTCAGATCGGATACCGACAATCTTAGCTCAGTATATCATACATTAATTAAATGAAATAAACATAGAATATTAACTAACACCCGGTATATTGAAGAATTTTGAAAACCAAAAATAATATTCTCAGAATGCAAAGAAAAATAGCTGAAAGTAAAAGAAATCAATATAAACAGTATTTCGCTTTGTGTCCAAAATGGACAAAATTAATACTCCAAATGTATGCCAAGACTTAAAGCAGCAACAACGCTACGCATGTAATTAAAAATATTTAAGTGTCTGAACAAAGAATTCTAGTCTCTTCCAGAATTTGATTGTCCTGACTAATTAGAATCAAGAAAGACTGATACATGATGTGGTGAGATGGGGAAGGCAGAGGAGAAGAGAATGGTATAACCACGTGAAGAGAATGACCCACACTACCACGCATTGTATTAGACGGAAAACCAGCAGRGACCCGTCCATCCGGAAGACCACCAAAGAGATGGAGAGACAGCTAGCAATCCACATCTCAGGAAATATTACAGAGGCAAAATATTACAGGTCCGAATTCAACAGATCATCTATATCTCGAACAAGTGGAACAAGAAGAAGAATGGTGTTACTTTTTGTGCAGATTGGCACCAAGATAGCTATCCACCCTTTGCTATACTAGGAAGCAAAAAAGATAGATAATTAATTGAAATGAAGTTATAAAGAATGTGTATTGAGTTTTGTAATCAAAAGCATCCATTCAAAATACCTTGATGAGTTTTTGAACCACAACCATTAATATGGTCAAATAAATAGTTTCTGCGTAATGTTACATGAGAGAAATAGTACGAAATATCAAATTATGTCAGTTTTGGTCTATTTTCAAAAGTGTCAATTTCTCGAAAATCATGATTTTCTCATTAACACTTTTTTCATTTTCTCACTTCTTAAAGATGGACCTTCCACTAGGTTCACGGGAGACCCTGTATATTAAATAATTATTTCGCTTTAATTTGCAACTTAAGCCGAGTAGAATTTATGYTGATGGCAATTGAAATCGGGGTAAAATTGTACTTTATCCATCCACATCTAATTGAAACAAATATTTTGAACAAGTAACATGTGAATGTATAAATGTATTGAATGTAACAGCGAAAGTGTAATTGCGTACGGGACTCTGCTCCATAAATCTTCGTTTGATCCAATTTTGTCAAAGTCATGAAAAGTAACACGATTTACTATAATSTTCAATGTTATTATTGCTATTTATGTTTATCTGCTTCGCATMMTCGAGGAGTCGCCCTYAGTTAAGATATGGGCCGATTACAGTTTTAGGAGGCCGGGAACTAAAATGAACATGAGGCCCACTTAAGGGTAGTAAACTATAATCATTTTTYGAATATTCTGGATGATTCTCAAGGATGGGGACCGGGGCTACAGTCCCTGCTCGCCTCCGGTGAATCCTACCCTGACCCCCTGGTCAAAAACAAAGKAATGCCAAACTTACCGAATGCTGCATCGTGACWCCTGAAAAGAAAGAAGAAAATGTATTTAGTACAGGAATATAAAAAATGCTTAAACCTCAGTTGCTTTTCGGAAAACTAAACCGAGTGCAAGCTAAAAGATTTATCGATTACAAATAATTCTCACCAGCGTTCCGCAAGCAGGGCCGCTATCCATTTTCCATCTATCCATCCTCAAAAAGCACGCACTACACTTGATCACACAATGAAAATGTACTATGAAATGAATCTATCTTTTCTTTCTATGGGCAAGTTTCGCGTTCCAACTTGTTTGGATGATCGCCGTAAACAAAGCAGCCAAAGATAAACAAATCAGATGATGGGACGCATTAGATATTTTTATATTAAATTAAATGCTAGCTATCGAGTCAGTCGTTTTATCAGATTTTTATCGAAAAATTAATTATTTAAGCTTGATATTTTGTGATCGGAGATATTTGCCATAACTTTACTAATAAATCATTGAATTTGCAGCCCACGCTTCGAATTACCCTTTAACTTGAAGAATTATGAGCGAACCTCAGAATATAAGCCATGCATCGAAGATGGCTCGTATTTTAGATAATTCGTTGAAATTTACGAGACATTTGCAAAAAGCACTGTTTTTGTTCATTTTTGCAGCTGGTTAGTATTTCAAATGTTGACAGTCTACAAGTTGTTATTAGCATGCTTAAACACACTCAAAATTCCTTTAATATTTAGTAGTCGTGGAGAAAATGTATTTTTTCCCATATTTGTGAAATTGTAATAATTAATTAAAATAAACTTTGTCGCTGTTAAATAAAATAAATAAAAGAAAAATAATAAACAAAAATATATTAATTTATTCTCAGATTTTTCCAAACAATGTTCACAATAAAACGCTTCGTTGATCAATAACGTGAAACAATTTTTATAAAATAACTTTGTCACTTCAATAGCAATTAGTAAAGATCACATTTTCATAAAACATACCTTACAATGTAAAAATAGATAACTGAACATAAATGAAAGTATCATCATACACGCGTAAGTCTTAAATATTAAAATTTTATTTAAATAGTTCAGATTACTTGAGCACCCTGTATATCCGAAAGTCATACATTAGATTTATCAAGCAGTTAAAAAAAGTCTTGGATTACAACTAAATAATTTCGCAACATACTTCACAACAAATCATGATTATGGCTTTTCAGTTACCATGTGACTAACTTCCTCCAGTTCAGTTTCAATAGCTTCTACTTTTTCCTCTTCATATGCAAATAAAACCGAGTACAGACCGCAGCCGATAATAGCTCCCACAGTAGGGCCAAGCCAATAAATCTGGAATTTAATAAATATAATAATTTTTAATGCAGGTTGTCTTATCTAACTTTTATATAAAATTTTATCGAAAAAATTAATACATGGTAATTTACTCTGCGTTCATTCAATACAACAAAACTCGAAAAATTATCGGTTTGTATACTTATGTACTTCCTATATATCAGCTTAAACTTAAAACTTGAAAATAGTGAAAGTAAAAAGATTTCGTCTCATTAGATTACATTTTTGTTTGACAATGTTATATCCAATCAATTTGCTTTTATTTTGACGAAAGGGTTGGTTTATCCACTCACACCGTCCAATTAGAAATAATACATTTCTTACACAATAAATGTATTATTTTTATGATTTATTTAAACCGAGGTATAAAAATTACATGCAAAGTGTGTGTTGCGCTTTGGTTGCAAACGATTTCGAAGAAAACAAAAACTTCTGCACAATTATATCTGGAGAAACAAGAATTAGCTAGCATTAAAAATAACGCATTATTTTCGATATTACAAGTCCCAAAAATAATAAATAATTGAGAAAGATAATTGATTTTACTGTATGTATAAAGGTTCATCAAAACTTTAAATACCTACATCACAGCAGAAGAATTTGTAGTATGCAACATGTCTAAAGTTACAGATTTAAATATGTAACTAGTTTAATGCTTTATGTAGTTTTGTTATGTATTTGCTAACTTATTAAATCTTACCCATTGATTGGAATAATCGCCTTCTAAGACAGCTGGAGCAAACGATCTTGCCGTGTTCATGCTAGCTCCAGTAATTGGACCCTGTAATTAAAATTAGATAAGTATACTTTTTTAATCAAAATTTATTTATTTACAGTATATGTACAGTGTGTCTCAACTTCAATGCCCAGTGATAAGCAGAACAGAATCGCCGATGCAAAAAGCTTTTGAAATTTTACTGTTATAAAATGTGGATAAAAAAACAAACCAATTTGGAAATAAATCTAAAACCAATGAAATAGGCATTATGTATCGTAATTTTTTAGCAGTGTTGTGTTGTTTTTCTTAATTGAAATCTATCGAAATCTTGGACCCGACTGTTTGTAAATCTGTAAATCTTTAATAACATATTTCTACAATTACATAATTTTTAAAATTGATACTTTATTTTTATAAATCTCACTGTTCAATAATTAATGAAACTGCTAAGCAAGTAATTACTAATTTGCGCTGCAATTGTTAACAGTTAATCGTAAAATTTTCGTGCCAAAAAGTGGGTTGTAATGGTTTCATTTGTTCTCATATTCGAGAACATTGGCAACCAAAACGAAAAACGAGTCACCGAGATTGTTCGCGTTATTCAGTCGCAGAATGGTCGGTTTTCACTTAATGACTTGCTATTTATTAGGCAGTAAAACTTGCAGATTGTAAATTACTGAAATTAATTTAAATTTGTCTTTTTCTTACCGCAACCATCGCAATGGCAGCAATAATGAACCCAAACCTCGCAGGGGTTGAATCTTGCTTATGTGCATTTCTTTTATCCCAAACGCCACAACATACTAAAATCAACACGCATGTTATAATAGTTTCAATAGCCAGCGATTGCATTGCTGTCGATTTTGCATGTGGTTTTGTGGCGCAAAACCCAGGAACTACCCATTCTTGCGGCATTAATACCTAAAAAAAATGAAAACTATATAAAAAATTAGATGTAGTTTCGTCAATGAACTTACTTTAAGCAGAGCGAATCCAAAAGTAGCTCCAAGGAATTGAGCCATAATATATACCGCTCCCATAGCAGGAGATAGCATCTTGAATATTACAGTACTTAACGTTACAGCTGGGTTGAGATGGGCCCCTGAAATGTGGCCAAATATCTGTAAAATCCATGAAAGAATCGAATCAGTTTAAGTAATAAAAAATAACCTGGTTGAGCAAAGTAGCAGGCAAGATTATTATTTGTTCCTAAATGTTTCCCGTTTTTAACTAGGGCTTATTCAGATCCAAAATCCTCCCGAGTTTCTCTTCGAGTAAAATTTCTTATCGGAAGCTTTAAAGCAAAATGAGTTTTTACAACCCGCCGTTAACGTATGCAGAGTGTCTGGAAACCAGCGGTTATAGTAAACCTTTTTATTGCCCATTTGCGAGTTTTTAGAGAAGGACTCTCACTAGAATATTTTTGTTTTGGGTGCTAATACTAACTAACTAACTAAAATCTATAATTAATTATCTAAGTTTACATTTAACGTAATAGCTCAAATGAGCTATTTAGTATTTGACAGTGCTATAATCAAAATGCAGTAATTTTATTCAACGGTAAATAATATATGTAGAAAATTAGAACTTATCTAGTAAAAGAAAAAATATCCACCAAAATTTTATAATCCAGCCGGTTAATAATTTTTCTTACGGCATTAAGTGTCTACTAATTATATTATAGTATTCAAAGCGATTGTTAATGAGGAGCAAAACACTTGAAAAATCAGTGCCAATCGAACAATATCATTGTGAAAATTGCGTGATGAACAGTTCGGTGACTTAGTTCAAGTGTAGGTACGTAATTGCATTTTACGTCAGCTGTGGATTAGATAAGGTCACATTAAACTTTCGAGAAAACCCCTCAACAATATCGTCCACATACGATACATTGCTGGAGAAATGTTTTAAAGTGGTCGGAAATTTTCGAAGCGTGATTTCAGCAATATCTTCTGCGAAATGTTTTGATAAAGATAACTTGCATACATCATACAACCGTATACTTGCTGCTTTTCTATTGTAAAATCCAAATTTTTAAACAGGTTTCACTCAATTCAATCAAGTGGAACTCAACAAGAAAAAAACTCGCTGTTTCTTCAATAATTCATAAAGGAAGCTCCCATATATCTCAGATTTCTTGAAATATCTTCAAAACTAAAATTTGAAATTAATGCATGGAACTTGTTATAATTAATAGTTTAGATGTACAGAATCTCAAAAATGTCCCGGACCCTTTTTCACATGGTGGTCCACTTTTCTAATTATTTTGAAAGTCAGCGAAAAAACTTCGTCTATGTTAAAAATATACTACAAAAAAGTAGAAAAAATTATAGAAATGTATTAATTTTACAACAAAAAAACTAAATAATAAAAATAACATACTGATACAAACCAAAGAGTCCAGCTCAAATACAAAATTGACACTTTTCATAGACCCAATTTTGAATATTTCTTGAATAGTTGTGATTATGTTTAATTTCCGATACCGATTAAATTGAAAACTGTCACGACTTTTAAAAGACATACTAGTTCTGATATATTTCCCAACAGATATCAGACATAATATCTTTACATCAATTTGCAGGTATTACAAAGTGAAATCAACACAAAAAAATGTGAACTTCTGAGTCTATGCAATAAAAAACAAAAGTTGAACTAAATATTTTTCTATTGTATTAATTGAAAAAAACTCAACCTTACTAAGCGTACCAGATTAAATGAGTCAAGGCAAAAACACAGAAAGTGAGGATTGACTCTTGAAACTTTGCGACATTTTAGTAGAGCGAGTTATAAATACATTTTATAACTTTACCTCATCAATATTTCATTAAATTATAAAGGTCTCCCACAAATTGAGTTGATTTTAATCATATTATTTGTATAATTGGGTTTATGAAAGAAATATTCGTATTTTTCTATTTTCATAAACTGAGAGCGGAAATTTTATTACAATTTCATCAAAATCTGAATTTTCATAAAATGGACTAATTTTTAGCTGGTGCTGTTTTTTTTCATTTCTCTAGTTTCGGTTTACTTATAGCCTAAAAGAAACGTAATAAGGAAAAGCTAAAAACGYGCTAACAAATCGCGAGGAAAGAATTTAGCAATTGCAATTCAAGCAAAACTAATCAAAAAAATACATTATCGTGATTTAAACTTTTTCTGCATTCCTAAACTCTAAAAATTATACCTGCCAAAAATCAGCTTTCGTCTCAAAAGCAACTTTATTATTTATTTAAAACTTTTCCATTGAAGCAAAAAGAACATATTTTTTGCTGGTGAAAGTTTTAACATAATTCCGTATCTTTTAGCTAGGTAAAACAATATTTAAAATAATAAATTTATTGAATATTGGAAAATAAAATTTCGATTCTAAGTATTAATTTTATTATATCCATATTTTAGTGCAAAGAAATTATTAGAAAGAAATTACTTGCACTTTGTCACCATGTATAACGAAAAAATAACGTTTTTTGGCTTATTGCAATTCATTGGAAGAAACMTAAGCGAATACTAAGCTTAGGAACAATCAAAATATAATAATAAGGAAAAGTTTGTCTAGTATATCGTCGTATATGGGGCGCTTGCAATAAAAATSTGAAAAACTTMAAAAAATCAGTTCTAGTTGAAGAAAAAAAGTGCTTCGCATAAAACMTTAGCTCGCCAGATACTATTAGATAAAAAGGAACCATAAATTAACCCGATGAAAAATCTGTAAAATAATCTAGTTTATTGGGGTTAAATAGTTTTWTTTTTGAGCCAATGACTTTTGTTCAATAGTTATACGCAGATATTKGAATTTTGCCATTTCAGAGAAAAGTTTGTTTCTAATAATGTCTGCAGTAAAACCGCTCCTTTTCGACATGCGATAGTGATTTGAGATATATATAAGATTGTATTTATTTATTTCGGAAAAGTCTTCTTAAGTATCTAAACGATTCATGTTTTGAGTTTATTTGAAAACTTCCAATTATTTTCAAAAAGCAAAAAAATTTACTTCCAGTGTCTTCTGATCTCGTTTAAAAAAATTCCTTTTGATTCCTCCACCTCTAAATCGCGATAACTGGACTTTTATCTTAAGCTTGCTCTAACTGCAGTTAGCTGGGCCATGAAAATGCACAACCAAGAAAGTTCATTTTGGAATATTACCTGAATGATCAATAAAACAACTAATCCAAAGGACAGTGACGGTAAATAATGTGATGCTGGAGGATTGTCGGCTTGTGGTGCACATCCCATACATCCCAGGAACATTAGCAATGCTGTACCAAGCAGTTCCGACATAAAGTTGGTAAAATAATGTTTTCTGGTATCTCCTGAAAAAAAAGTTTGTTTTTTACCTTGTTTTCATATATTCGATGCGAGGGAATAGAAAAGTCGCTACTGTTTTAAGACACAATGCTTGTAAAATGATTTGTTCTGAGTCAAGTTACAATAAATCATAGAGCACTATGAGTATAGAAATATTATTATTAGCTACTTGTAAAGATATCATTTAACTTTCAAGTAAGAAATGGTCGAAAATCCATTTTTTAGACTCATGAAACAAACAATTAAATAATGTAGTTAAAATCTGCTCTGCTTGAAAATATGTCTGTTTGTCTATTAATACCTATTTATCTCGTGAAAGTGTACCAGTTGTTCTCAAAGAAAACAACAAAATTGCGTCAATGCTGATCAGATTATTTTAAAATAAAATGTTATCATGTACGAGCCCCCCAATTAAACCGTACACTAAATTATACCGAATCTATTAAATGGAGTATAATAAATCAATCAATTATTTCGCTTTTACTTGTATTTTTGTAATAAATATACACCGTCTGTAAATAAACCCAGTCTACAATAATATGTTAAGCATTGTAAATAGCTACACATATTAAGTTGGATTATGATTGGCTTATATACAGAGTTTGCATAAGTGGACGATGGGCAATAATTATGTTGACTTAATATATTTTTTTAAAATTTATATAAACTTCTTCGTAAAAAGCGTCTGAAGTTAGCTAAATAGCGTTGTAATTAATTGTATTTAGAAACAGCGTTATTTTTAGAATACCATTATGAAAGAACTATTTTGATTTAATATGATTTGCGTGTATTTTTCACGTATAAACAACTAATAGATAAAACCAAACTATTGTTTTCCGACTACATTAATAATTACTTATCATACTTTTCTCCAAGTTATTTTAATGTTATTTCATAATGCGTGGAATTATGGAACATATCATCTAACCGTCTTAACTTTTATTAGGAGAAATCTGCCCCTGATAAAATAACTTTATAATCGTTTTTTTTTTCATAGATAGTATTTGATGTTTTAATTGATCCCTGCTCATTAAGCTTAATTTTATTAAGTTGTTGCACGCTAAATGTATTTATTTAATTTTGTTAACGAAAGATTTTTAAAAGAAGTTTTAAATCTGTAATAGATAGATTCAGAGCGAACAGTTCTTAAAAATAAACTAGTTCTTAAGTAAATCATAAAAACGTAAAAAAGAAATCTATAAATAATACACAATATTTACAATCTTCCTTATTTACTATAATTTACTGCTACATTTTAAATAATGATATTAAAGTGCTCAGAACTAAAAGAAATTCAATCAAGCAAGTTTTTTGTAATGAAGCGTATGTAACTAAAAGAGATAACAGAACTAAGAGACATGAAAATTAGTTTGAAAACATATAAAACATACAAAATGGACGAAAAAAAGCAATTAAAGAAAAATATTAATAAAAGTATTAATTAGCATGATACCGTAAAATTATTTGTATGTTATTTATTGAAAGTAATTGCTGACGCTGAAAATGCAGCAACTCTAACAATGAAGAATAGCTTGAAAATTAACAACTGATATTATTAAACGGTTTAAGAATCAGTTTATGCAAGATATATTATACAAGTGATCTTAAATAAAACATTATTCTATTAATAGTGCCAGTTTTATAATTAGAATCAGAAATACGTACATGTAAAAAAATATTTTCTAATGATCAAATTTGGGAATTAATATTTGTAAAAATAATTGTCAGGAAAACTATTTTCAGTAATCCTTCATTTCAATAATCGTGTTGGAAAATAATTTTGCCATTTTTTATCATTTCTACATTAGTTGCATAATCCGTAAGCATAATATATCTTTTCTTACAATATTTACCATCACTTGGAGGTTTTGCTTTTAAAACTTTTACTCCCACTAAAACCATTGTACCATAAAAAAAAAATTGTTAAACATTATTATATTTGATATATTAAAAATTTTCTTGAAAAGACAGTGCTATTTATATGTATAACTAAAAGTGTTAATTGATGTTATATATATCTTTTTGATAAAGCAAACGATTCTGCATTCTACATAAAGCCACTTTGAACGTGTTTCGAGAAAAATAATTTAGTGGTTACTTAAGAGGTATCACTCAACTGGTACGGAATATATTCCTTCCAATTTTATCTTTTTTTTTCCTATTCCTTCCAATTTTATCCAAAGAGTTACTAGGCCTTCGTGGTTATTGCTTGAAAAGCGTAATACTTTGGTGATTTATTTGGGACATCCTGTAAAAAATTTTCTTTGTTTGCTGACCATTCGCAAGAGATGTTTTCCCTCAGAGACGTTTTGCATGATACGTTACAATCCAGGAAAGCTTTCGGGCCGCAACATCCTTATCTTCAAAGCAAGTTCAAAGTTGTTTTCGAATAAGGTAGTTAACAATAGTTTTATTTTTTTAATCATGGACATTAAGAAGCGATAATCATTAAACTATTTAGTCCATCTACATAAATAGTTTAATGTTTAAACATTTGACTTAATTTAATTTAACTCAAAAAAGTTATATGCGTTTATCATATAATGAGAATAAACAGTTGATAATAGTTATGATTTATGAGAGTTGTAATGATGCTTTGAATTAGATGTAAAACTTGGGTTCAGTTAGGGAATCTCGTTTGAACGATATATTCATATCAGTAATATGACCCCAATGTAAAACATTCATATTGCATGTTTCTATAATAATATGCAATTATCTATTATCGGCATTAAATAATATATCGTTTATTCCACTTAGCGAATGAGTCTTTATCAAATGTACTTGAAGAGAAGGTTATCGTTGCGTTGTTACTTGCAGTAACAATTCGAACAAATATAATCAGAAAATCGTTAATTTTAGCTACAGTGATCCCGTGAGGAGCTTTAGCTGGAGCGACATTCACAGCTTAGACCAACAATTGTAATAGTATATATATTTTATTAAGAAAATTAAATCTATCTCAACGATAGTTCTCCGATTTATTTTTCTCAAAAGTTAATGGCATTTAAAAGATGTGACCGCAGTAGTCATTGACATCAGAAGCAGAAGTGGATAAAACAATAGTAAACATTTAAACCTGTACTATATAGTAAAGCCTATACTAGGAGAAGCAAATACTTTATTCTAGGCGAATAACAATTTACTTTTACGAGTTACGCTGGAAAATTATAATTCAATAATGAATATTTAGTTTGTGCTTCAAAATAACAACTGTTTAATTTATTTGCTATGGTTTCAGTGCTCTAAAATTTGTTGATCAGAAAATTTATTCTTGCACCCTTATGCAATAATAAAGATTTCTTTCAGTTTTACTCAATCTTAACGTACTCATAAAAAATAATTTTAGTACTTTTTCTTCACTTAGTCCATTGTCTCATGCATAGTTTCACCTATGTACTTTACCTTAAGATTCACAGTCAAGTGAATTTATGGGCATCAGAAAGGTGCGGAAAGAAACAGTTTAAGTGCATATTTTTAATTAAAAACAAAATATTAGTGTTATTAATTAAATGTCTCAAACAAAAATGTCTAAAAACTCTGCTGTTAATTAACAAAATAATTATAATTCAAATGATTTTATTTGAAAAAATTAAGTATTTAAATCGTTTAGTCAATGATAGTGAGAACTTACAAAAGCAAATTTGAAATGGCGAATAATTTAGGAAATATTGTAAAAGATTGATTCTAACTTTCGAAAAGGAGTGTTCAAATTTTTGAGCAATTAATGTACTTAAAAAGTGATATCAAGCTACTTCTTTAACGAGCACAAATATATTTTCTTTGTTTTATTGTTTTTTTATATTTTCAAAAGAAAACTGTTAACTCAGCTAGAATGTAACTGTATGTAAAAATATTTTTTCTTTGAAAGGACCTTTGAAAGTTAAATCTGCGTTGAGAAAGGATTGCGCTTAATTCATGCGATAATTGACTGAATTTTCAGAAGAAGGAAAAAAGATTTTCTTGAAAGAAAATTCAGATAACTTTTGGTCTTCCTCCATCAGATATAATTTCATCACTTCAAGCAAATTCCATGTAGGTTGAGAATGAAAATTTAGGTAGAAACATAATCAATTGTTAGAGTTATTCAACTCACTTCTGCAAATACCATATCATATCATTCTATAAGTCAAACCATATCATTCCCATCAAATTAAAAAAATTATGAATAGAACTCGAGTCATTAAAAATAATGATCCAGAAATTGATTGTCCTGGACAAGGCCGAAATTCGACTTACATATGACAAAAAAAATGGTTGTAATCAATAATACAAAATCATTAAAATGATATATTCGTAAAAAATTATCTTGCTTGACGAAAAACCTGGCCACACTCACCTTTTCCATATCCCATAATGATCCTTATTCGGCAAATAACACGCTCGCTACACCACAAGTTCCAATATCAAAGTGTCTGACTGTCAAATACAAAATCCAATCTTGGTGCCATTTCAAGAAGAATCACGATAAGTTTATTCATAATTGCGAAGTACTTATTAAACAGTTTTATCTAAAGCTCCACTCTACTTCAAGTGTCTGAGCAAATATAACACAATTTTGTGGACTATTATCTATAAACTATTCTCTTACCTCCACATGTAAAGGTGCAATTAATTTTTTCAATCATTACTAGGTCTATATGCGTTTTGAGGATTTTGTCGAATATTATCAAAACATATTGAATCGGAGGTTAAAAGCTACTGCTACCAAAACATTTACTATAGAATAATGATAATTGGTGGACATTATCAGTGTTATAGATAACAAATTAATCTCGTAAATATTTAGTCAAAGTCAAAGTTGTTTTTCTGTTTTTATTGATAATTATGTTGCATTGAAGATCGCAGCCAATTAAATGATACATTTTTGGAAATTGTATTTACGTGTTCCTTTCCAACCAAAAAAGAGTATATTCCTATCCTGTGCTTGATAAATTTCAATCTAATGTTCCGTTCAAGATTTAACACAATGCTATTTAAAATATATTAAATAAATATTAGTTTAACAATATTTGGAGATCAGAAATCACGCGACTATTTTAAACGTCTCGTTACATGAAATATTCGGATTTTCAAGCACTTTATTTATTAACTTAATGGGCTAATTATTCGTTTATAATAAATGCTATTTAAATTTTAGACAGACAGACGCCTTTTTGGAAAAATGGAAAGTGGTGGAGGTAAAACACCTCGTGTTTTAAATATATCGGGTGATTCACAAGGGGCGTATAGAGGACCTCAAAACAAGTCCAGTTACCATTCAAGTTTTTTTCTCAGGCCCATGGTTAACGAGATACGGGGTGTTAAAGTTTCAAAAAAATCTGGGTAGTTTCTCTTTCACTTTTACAGTTTATGAGATATTTTGCTCAAATTTTTAACGTATGCTAATGTTTAGACCCTTTACCGGTAGGTTAGGCGACTGATTGTGAAAATCTACAGGGTGTTCTTTTTTCTAGAGGCATACCACCATAGTGCACCACTGACTTCGACGAAGCAACTTTGCGTGAATTTGCTGTTCAATTTAAGAATTTTCTGATCTCTTGCAGTTTTTTCCGTATCTGCCTTTGTTTTCGAGTTATTTGCACAAATATAAGTCCATGTAGGGTTCCTGGGTGATTTTCCATGAATTTTCTTTTAAAAAATTTGCGTCCTTTTTTTGACATTTTGTTGTGAAAGAAATTAATTTTACAATAAATTGAAATATTCGTTATATTTTTGTGTATTTTTATTTGGATTAGCTTACAGCCGATAAACCTCAATTATTGTAAATTAAATTAAAGTAAAAAAAAATTTAAGTTAACTCGTCAGCCATCCCTATTTTACTTGCAATTGAACCTTTCACAGAAAAATGTGAACAAAAGGACACAAAAAAAATTATAAAAAATTCATAGAAAATCACCCAGAAACCCTTCATGGACTTATCTTTGTGCAAATAACTCGAAAACGAAGACGGATACCAAAAAACTGCAAGAGATCAGAAAAACTTAAATTGAACAATAAA